ATGCCACAGCACTCTACCCAGGGGAATAGCTTGAGGCTCCGTCTCAAAAAAAAAAACAAAAAACCGCAAAATTGTGAACATAAAATTAGGTATAATCATTGCTAAGGGAAGAAGCTTTGCAGAGAGAAACCCTGCAAATCCTCCTCTTCCCAGCAGGCTGGAGCCTTAGGAAGGGCTAGGGGTTGCAGAGGCAGCCAGTAAACTCATGAGGCAGGTGCTAGGATGTCCTAGAGGGGCTGTGGTTGTGCTTCTCTCATCTCCTGGGCATCCCCCCAACCCCTGCCAGCTTTATCCAGAGTTGCTAGAGGGATACCAAAGGAGAGGCTTCATAAATACATACCTACAGCACAATGCTGGCCGAGCACTGGCTATAGACCTGGCTGCACTGAAATCTGGGGATATTGGCCCCAGGGGATACTGACCTGGCTTCAGAGGGTGTGTGGCCAAGTTGGAAAAGTGGACAGAGGAATAAAAAGAGAAAATATACAGACACAGTGGATCCTGAAGCCAGAAAATGACAGTTTGGTGTAGCTGGAGTGGGGGAACAGACAGGGGTCTGGGCCACTCTTGGGGTCCTCGGCTTCCATTTCTTAACACATTAGACCAATCTGCCCTTCAAAGCAATTTTGGAGCTCCTTTTCTGGAGTGGCCATTGGAGGTTTTGTCATATGAGGTCTAACAATTTTAAAAAGTACTTTGAAGGGTGGACTAGGCACAAGCATCAGTGCAGAGGTTCCCAACGCAAGTACTTCAAAGGTGACAATAGTGATATTTAGCAATGAGGTATATAGCACTTTTTCTAGGATGGGTTTGCAAACTTAATTGTCCAACCTCATATGTATGTATATGTGTCTTTGTCCACAGGAAAATAATAAGATTTTCCTTTTCAAAAAGTTGTGTTGCCTGTAGTCCTAGCTGCTTGGGAACCTGAAGGTGGAGGATTGCTCGAGCCCAGGAGTTTGAGGCTGCTGTGAACTATCATCCAGCTACTATACTCCAGCCTAGGTGACAGAGTGAGACCCTGTCTGAAAAAAAAGAGAGGAAAAGGGAAAAGAGAGGAGATGAGGTGAGGGAAGGGGAGGAGAGGAAAAAGAAGAGGTCTTGTCAGAGAGATAAGGAGGGAGGGGGTGAGGGAAAAGGAGAAGGAAAAAAAGAAAAGAAAAGAAAATTGTGACTAATTCTCACATAAATTAGATTTAATTTTGACCAAAGTACATTACTTGAACATTAATCTTTAATTCAACTTGTTAATATGTTGTTTAGGATACTGCCTCCTCATTTATAAGTGAAATATGTTTGTAATTTCCCTTTATAATAATATTTTTTTTCTAATTTTAATATCAGGTACATCCAGATGAAGTAGAATGATTTTGAAGCATTTCTTCTTTTTCTATTCTCTATAAGATTTGGGATGATCTGTTTTTTGAAATTATCATTTATTTTTATTTATAAATATTAGTTGTCTATTTTTTGAGACTTTGGAAAAAAAATAAGAAGTTAACTGATGACTCCATACTGAGCCTCAGAATCAAAGCATTCTATGATAGACATACTCTTATCTGACAATGTCAATGTTACTTTTTTTGCATTATTATTGTTATTGTTCAATTAAAAAAAAAAAAGAAGAGGTCTTGTTGCTGTTTTTCAGAGCAGTTTCCTTGGAGGCCACGGAAGCTACAAGCTACTGTGTAACCAAGCTCCAGGGTTGCCCAAGACACTGCACCTGGAAGTGTGGGGAGTCTCCTTTTTTTTTTTTTTTAACTATCAAGCACCATGAAATGTGGGTTCTTATGCTGGAAACAGTCACTGTGTTGGGAAGGCAGACACAAGGAGGGTGGATTGCTTGAGCTCAGGACTTTGAGACCAGCCTAAGGTAGAGCGAGACTCCATCTCTTAAAAAAAGCTATAGTCAGGCCTTGTGGTGGGCACCTGTAGTCCCAGCTACTCAGAAGGCTGAGGCAAAAGAATCACTTGAGCCTAGGAGTTTGAGGTTGCTGTGAGCTTGTGACGCCACAGCAGTCCACCGAGGATGACAAAATGAGACTCTGTTTCAAAGGAAAAAAAAAAAAACACCCTGAGACATCACTTTATCACTTAACCCCAATGAGAATAGCCCACATCACAAAGTCCCAGTGTTTTAGATGCAAAAACAGGTGTGGAGAGAGAGGGACTGTTGGTGGGACTGCAAACTAATATAGCCTCTTTGGAAAGAAGCATGGAGAGTCCTGAAAGAATTCAAATTAAACCTTCCATTTGACCCTGGAATCCCACTACTAGGCATCTACCCAGAGGAAAAAAAAATCATTTTATCATGAAGATATTTGTACTAGAGTGTTTATTGCAGCTTAATTTACAATCACCAAGATGTGGAAACAGGTTTGGCGCCTGTGGCACAGTGGTTATGGCACCAGCCACATGCACCGCGGCTGGCAGGTTCGAGCCCAGCCTGGGCCAGCTGAACAACAATGACAACTGCAACAACGACAACAACAACAACAAAAAACGAATTAAAAGTAAAATTAGACTTAAAAAAAAAAGATGTGGAAACAACCTGAATGCCCATCAACTTAAGACTGGATCAACAAGCTGTGGTATATGTACACCATGGGAGTATTATACAACTATAACTAAAGATGGTAATAATGACTTTACATCTTTTGTGTTAACCTAGATGGAGATGAAACACATTCTTCTTAGTAAAGTATCACAAGAATAGAAAAGCAAGTATCTGGGCCAGGCGCAGTGACTCACACCTATAATCCCAGCACTCAGGAGGTTGAGGCAGGTGGATTGCCTGAGCACACAAGTTCAAGACCAGCCTGAGCCAAAACAAGACCTCACCTCTAAAAAATAGCTGGGCACTGTGGTGGGTGCCTGTAGTTCCAGCTACTTGGGAGGCTGAGGCAAGAGAATCATTTAAGCCCAAGAGTTTGAGGTTCCTGG